AAAAAAAAAAAAAAAAAAAAAAAAAAAAAAAAAATATATATATATATATATAGATAATATATAGATAAATAGATTAATATAATAAGAACATTATAATATGTTATTATAAGATTAGTTATTATTATAATTAATATAATAATACAACAAGGTGAATAAGTGCCTCGCGTTATTATAAATTAATAGTAAATCATAGATTGATACTTTACGTTCCGAGAAGATAGTAGAAAACACCGTGTTTCCGCGATTGTTTGATCAATTTAAATCTCTTCTCCTTAGAAACAAGACACCTCGAGTCTACTATTTGTACCAAATATTTGCAATGAATAGATAACAACAATAATTACTACTACAGCAATTAAACCTAGAATACTTAAGCTGTTTATATTCAACAATTAATCTGCACGGGGAAATTCGACTTGAATGTAATAACTATGATTTTTGCAATAGAAAATCATCAGTTGCAAACGGATGGGAATCAACGTTTTCAACGTCGCGATTTCTTTTTTGACGAGCTGAACGAGCATTCGCGTTTCACGGCAAATTGCAATTACGATTCGAAACGTTGTTTTTTTTCTTTTTTTTTATCGAATTATCGCTAAAAACACCACGTAGCCGTGGAGATAATCTGTTCCGTTACACTATCCGTAGCTAGTCGGCGGAAAATTTGTAACGCGTTTAAATATTAATGCAGCTGTATTTCAACGTTTTCGCTGCATGACGCGTCTGAAAAGCGGTTTTGCCGGCTGAGTTCGCTAAAGTGTTGGCGGACACTTCACAAGCGAAATGAATTTCATCCTGTAACTACTTCATATACCGCGTAATGTCTCGTCTATATATATGTAGATTATTGCAAATAACTTTAGAATTGAAGTCTTAATAGATGTATTAAAATTGTTAATGAAACGCGATGTAATTTGAATTACAAGTTTACGTTCGCGCGGCGCGCTCGTTAAATAAATACGAAAGTGAACGGTCTATAGTGATTCCGGCGAATAAAGCGAATCGCGATTGTTATTCCCGAACGAATGGATTTGGTTGGAAATTAAGAAGATACGGCAGAATTATTTCAACTAGTTTTTCTTTCTTTCTTTCTTTTTTTTTTTTTTTTTTTAATTAACACGTTAACGGTCTAGCCTTTCGAAAATTCTGAATAAATCTGGGATATCACCATAGGTTATCCAGAGCAATTGTGAAAAGCAATTTTTTAATCAATGAAACATATTAATATTAAATGAGGCATGAGTTGGGAATAATTTTATTATTCATAATAAATAACGAGAAGAAACAATAATTCGAGGCACGTTAAAATTTCAGATTATTTCACTTGCGATTATTAGTATTTTTAAAAACGCTCGAATTTATTACATCTATAATTATAACACTTGAATTATTCACGATATTCGTGTAGAAATTGTTACGAAGAGACCCGATTTCGTTCCTTGCCAGGAGTAAATTTCAAATAAATAAAGACGCATCTAAGATTTTAGACCGATATTAAAATACAAGTTGATCCTTGAAGAAAAAAACTTTACAACGTCAAGTCGAATAACTTGTGTCGTTAATAGAGCGCGCATATCGCGTTCGAACGCACAGTCGTAGAAATACAAATACAAACGTTTCACGGCGGTGAAGGTGAGTTTTCGACAGCGCGGCTGGAAAACCGTGTTAATGGAAAACCCGACATTCCCATCGTGTAATATCGCTACATCCGTGCACCGCCGTGAAGCCGAAGAGGAGAAGCTATAGCACGCCGCGCACTAGTTTTCAATTTAATAAAACTCGAATTTTATATCTCGGGGCAAATGCTTCTCGAGGCTCGCAACAACCCCAATCCTTTCACGATTATAAAAACCCGCCGCCGTTCCCTGAAGTTACCGAACATTTTTTGGTCGGGATCCTTCACGGTCGATTTACACACGTTCACGTGAACAACGGTAGAGACAAATTTACAAACGGTGGCCATACACGTGTTCCGTTGAATTTACGTAAATCGGTGGAAAACTCGCGTTACAGCTGGCAAACGTGATCTGATGTAAGATTTAAGACGAGTGCAACAGCGACAAGCGTAAAAACGACAAATGTCAGACAATTTGAAAGTAAGACAACGCGATTTTTCAGAAAATTCTTGTCAATTTTTTTTTATCCTTATTTTATTATCATCTTTTATTTTATTATCCCAGTGCTTGTCCATTTTTTATTCTTACTTCCAGAGTTTGTAGGAATTTTTATTTATCTTTATTTTACTATTATCTCAAAGTACCATTATTTTTTATCTTTTCTTCCAGTTATAGGAATTTTAAATTTTCACAGTATAATAATGATAGCTCGTTTACTCATTATCGAAAAGTTCTATTATTCGAGCAAATTTCATCCAATTAATTCCGATAATCAAGGCTCTACTGTATCAATAAAAATATTTATCGTCGATCTCGTATAAAATGAGATAACTGACCTAGATTATTAGGAGATTCAGTAGAATCGTGTTAAAATCATTTGAAATACGCAGGTTTGAAATATGCAGAAATTATGTATGTGCGTACAGACGAGAAAAAGATTTAATTGTATTATTTATAGTCGAATTAACGAGCGGAAATGAGAATTTAATTTTAACGAAAGATTTCAACTTAAATTTGAATATTTTAAATACAGATTTTATAAATACGGTCGAGAACGTTTAATGCGATGGATCTGTATTTATTGGTTAGGTCTCTTCACCACCTTTGCGCAATGAGTAATTTCTTTTTTAAACATCTGGCACTAAGCTCGATAAAAACGTATTTTCACTGTTTTCAAGGCAGACGGTCTATGAACACTTCGTTTACATTGCCCGTTTTCATATAATAAACATCGGCGAGATAAAAATTTTTCATTTAATTATTTTGAAAGCTTTCGTTCGGTCTACATGATTGGAAAAATACATGTATGTATATATGTATATATATTTTTCTTTTTTTTTTTCGTGAAATAAAACCAGACACAGTTGCGTTGAAAAAGTATTAAAATTGATTCGAAAAAATAAAAAAAAAAAACGTTCAAACCCACTAAGAGCTTGAGGAAAATTTTTATACAATTTCAGCGCGCAAATGCATTATTCACTCTACTTATTTCAATTTATTGTGTTATCGTTTGTAAAATTTTCAGTGATATCTATCGCGGATCGAGGCTTGTTTGAATTCAGCTTGTTTGGATTCAAAAATAAACATTCATAAATTCGCGTCGTACAATGGCATGTACGTATTACACATTTACAATATTTTGAATTCTATATTAACATCTCTGCGATACTATATGTACAAGAAATTATGAAATGAATAAGAGTTAAATAAATAAAATTTTTATTTCGTATCAGCTACAACAAGTTATATGATAACTCTTTTATATAGTTATATATAACTATACATAGTTATTACACAATATATTACAATTTTAATATAACTTATTATAGTTAATGCAAAAGAAAAATTTTGCTTATTTAATTTTCATATATATTACACACACATAGCTATGATAAGTTTAATATATTAACTATTAATATAACATATTTAATATATTTATATATAT